TTGCACGTTGCTGGGCTGTAAATGTATGGGTGATGAGTTGGGTAGACCTGTCATACTGGGCTTGGAGTTCGGCTATTTTGCGTGCCCTCAGCTCAGACTTCAGGGGGAAACTTTGCTCAAAAGAGCTGTGCTTTGTATCATAGTGGCGCTTCACGTTGCCACTTTTAATTAATGCCACATTTTCGGAGCATATGAGGCACAGCGGTTTTGAACTGCCTGCTGGAAGAATGAACATAATTTTCTCTGTCCATTCATCTTTAAAACAACGGTCTTCCACATAAACCTTCCTTCTTTTGGAGCAAGCCATCTCGTTATCACTGTCTCTTCCTCTCTACTCTGGCGCGCTGCCCATGCAGGCTAAACAAAGGATTTTATTGACTCAACTGAGTGAATCTATTGTCTTATTAACTGGAGTAGCAGTGCCGCCGTCAATAGCAAAATAGAAAAAAATGAAATGAAAATAATCTATTCTCGTGAATTTATCAGAGATTGGTCAGGGCTCACGGGTCCGGACAGAACCATCACTCAGTCAGGGTCCGGACCTAGGTCCCCCATTTGGCGATGCCTGCATTAAGGTATCTAGACGTGGTGAAGACGACTTGCTGAAGTCCGAACCGAGCATGGTCTACCTGATTCCTGCTTACAGGCAGAAACTAAAGCTCTGCAAACCTGTAGTGAGGACATCAAGGAAGTACACCAGTGAGGCTGTGGAGGATCTCCGTGTTTGGACTCTACTGACTGGGATGTGTTCAGGACTGCTACCAACAGTCTGGATGAGTACACAGAGGCTGTGACGTCATACATCAGCTTCTGTGAGGAATGCTGTGTTCCATCATGCACGAGGGTGAGTTACAACAATGACAAACCTTGGTTCACAGCCAAACTCAGAAGGTTAAGGTTGGATAAGGAAGAGGCCTTCAGGAGTCGGAACAAAGACAGATTCAAAGAGGCGAAGTACAAGTTTAGCAAGGCTGTAAAGGAGGCTAAACGACTGTACTCTGAGAAGCTCCAACACCAGTTCTCAGCCAACGACTCTGCGTCTGTCTGGAAAGGGCTCAGGCAGATCACCAACTACAAGCCTAAAGCCCCCCACTCCATCAACGACCAACGCCTACCCAACGACCTGAACAAGTTCTACTGCCGCTTTGAAAGACAAAGGGACAGTCCTGCAACCATCCCCCACGAAACCTCCCAACAGCTCCAGCTACAGTTCATCACCTCCACCTCCCACACCTCAGCAGGGGCCTGGGCACCTCCACCAATGCCCACCTTAAAGGCCCCCCCCCCCCTCCACCCACCTCAGTGACAACTCTTTCCATCCATGAGAGGGACGTCAACAAACTCTTCAGGAGACAGAACCCACAGAAAGCTGCTGGACCGGATTCTGTCTCGCCATCCAGCTTGAAGCACTGCGCTGATCAGCTGTCTCCAGTGTTCACAGACATTTTCAACACCTCAGTGGAGACATGCCATGTGCCAGCCTGTTTCAAGTCCTCAACAATCATTCCTGTCCCCAAGTAGCCAAGGACCACAGGCCTTAACGACTTCAGACCCGTCGCCCTAACCTCTGTGGTTATGAAGTCCTTTGAGCACCTTGTGCTTTCACACCTTAAAGTCATCACCAACCCCCTCCTGGACCCCCTGCAGTTTGCCTACAGAGCCAGGTCAGTAGACGATGCAGTCAACTTGGCCCTCCACTACATCCTCCAGCACCTGGACTCGGCAGGAACCTACGCCAGGATCCTGTTTGGGGATTTCAGCTCTGCTTTCAACATCATCATCCCAGCTCTGCTCCAGGAGAAGCTCTCCCTGCTGAGTGTGCCTGACTCTACCTGCAGGTGGATCACTGACTTCCTGTCTGACAGGAAGCAGCGCGTGAAGCTGGGGAAACATGTCTCTGACTCCCGGACCATCAGCACCGGATCCCCCCAGGGCTGTGCTCTTTCTCCTCTGCTCTTCTCCCTGTACACAAACAGCTGCACCTCCAGCCACCAGTCTGTCAAGCTTCTGAAGTTCGCAGACGACACCACTCTCATTGGTCTCATCTCTGATGGTGACGAGTCTGCCTACAGGTGGGAGGTAGACCATCTGGTGAACTGGTGCAGCCAAAACAACCTTGAGCTCAACGCTCTAAAGACAGTGGAGATGGTTGTAGACTACAGGAAGAACTCAGCCTCACCTGCCCCCATCAACTTCTGTGACTCCAAAGTCTTTCCGCTTCCTGAGAACTATCATCTCCCAGGAACTTAAGTGGGAGCTGAACATCAGCTCCCTCATCAAGAAAGCTCAGCAGAGGATGTACTTCCTGCGGCAGTTAAAGAAATTCAACCTGCCAAAAACAATGATGGTGCACTTCTACACAGCCATCGTTGAGTCCATCCTCGCATCCTCCATCACCATCTGGTACGCTGCTGCCACTGCCAAGGACAAGAGCAGACTGTAGCGTGTCATTCGGTCTGCAGAGAAGGTGATTGGCTGCAATCTACCGTCGCTCCTGGCTTATCCCTCCCACCCCGGTCACAAACTCTTGGAGACAATCCCCTCTGGCTGCGGTCTATCAGGACTAAAACCTCACGCCACAAGAACAGTTTTTTTCCATCCGCTATTAGCCTTATCAACAAGGCCCAGAACCCACCCTGACACTCTTTCACACTCCACCTCTTCCTCCATATGTCACATTGACACTGCATTCACAACTCTATGCGTTACATTAACGCTCAGCTATATACTAATATTGGAAATACTCTGCATACTGTGAACACTATAATTACTCAGCTGTACTGCTCTTCTTATTTCTTTTTTTTACCTTCAAAAAACATACTGTGTATATATTTTTATACTTATATTGTTAAATTTTAATACTTGATTTTTTATCTTGGTATATTTAGAGATGTCTGACATGCACCAACAACACCAAAACAAATTCCATGTATGTGCAAACTTACTTGGCAATAAAAGCTTTTCTGATTCTTATCTTATCTTATCTTATCTTATCTCATCTTAACTTAACTTATCTTAACTTATCTTATCTTAACTTATCTTATCTTATCTTAACTTAACTTATCTTAACTTATCTTATCTGATCTGATCTTATTGATGACTCAGCATGAACTTTATCATGTGATGAATCGTGTGTCGGCCATGACCCTCACTTTTGAGAATGTTAGCTAACAAGGCTAATGCTAACGGAGCTAACGCTACACTCGGTGACGACACAACCAGGAAGGAGCGGTCAGAAACAAGATGGCTGCAGACTGTGGTCACTCTACTACTGAACGTTTGTGTGTCACAGCAGCAGGAGACGTTTCAACATGAAGCAGAACATGAACAGNTTAATCTTGTTATATTTAGAGATGCCTGACGTGCACCAACAACATCATAACAAATTCCATGTATGTGCAAACTTACTTGGCAATAAAAGCTTTTCTGATTCTGATGTCAATCTGGACCAAAATCTCTGAGGAATGTTTCCAACACCTTGTTGAATCTATGCTATGAAGAATAAAGGCAGTTCTGAAGGCAAAAGGGGGTCCAACCCAGTACTAGCAAGGTGTACCTAATAAAGTGGCAGGTGAGTGTATATCGATATCAACTGATCTGAACACATGCACATAAAAAGTCGCATGCTGAGCCAGTGTGCCTGTGTGTGGGCACACCATTGCTCACCGATAACTAGGGGTGGGCATTCGATTAGATTTTCATAATCGATCGTCGGAAGAATTAACAATCAATTTTCAATTAATCATTCAATTTTTTAAATTAATTAAAATACATTATTTAACTTTTTATATATTAAAAATGCAATGAAAATACAAAATACAGTATAAAATCCTCGATGAGATCTTCATTACGAGAACAACTCTTGTGGCAGTTAAACTGACGTTCAATGGTTAAACTTGAAGATGTGTGCTGCGGTGCTCTAAAGCAGAGGAGCCTGCAGCTGCGAGCCGGCGCTCTTAAACATAATTGACCCTTGTTTGTTCCAAAATAATAATAATAGAAAAAATCATGTTAAAAAATAACTTAACCAAAAACATAATAATACTAAGTTGTGACAGGTTTTGTCAGAATGTAACCCAAAAACTAACCAAAAGGCACCGAGTCTAAAAAGAGGGTGAGAGAGATCAATTAGGCTACTTAACAAAGCCTAATAAAAATAACTAGTAGCAACACCAGTCTACTGATTTTTGTTGATAAAGATAAGCATGTTAGCATGCCCTGTGGTCAGACGTGACCGCAGCCTTGTGACCGTCAGTCCAGCCGCCGAAAACACCCACTCTGAGGGGACTGACGTTGCCGGGGTGCATAGGTACCTGCGCACATTATTCGCATTATTCAAGCATTTCATCGATAACAAAAATAACATGATCGACGAAATTCTTAACGATCAAATATCAATTTGTCGATTAATCATGCCCATCCCATTAACCGTTTCATCCATACTCCTAGTATAAAGTCTGTAGAAATTCAGGAGAATTCATGGGGAGAACGCAGCAGGGGATCCCCCACTGGATTCCCCACGAGTGAGTGGGGGTTGATAACGCTTCTGACATGTGACAGATGCAAAAATGAAAAAAACAAAAGAAAACAAATATCTCATGGTGAAAAAGCAGAACCACACACATCACACCAACCACGATGTCAAGAGAGTTTGTGGCAATATGAACTGACAAAGGTGTCGGGGTGCTGTAAACATGATCACATGATCTCTGCAGTTACTTCCTGCCTCTGCCTGCTGCACCCGGCTGCTCCACCTCTCGCCAGAATATTGCCCAGGATTTACTTGCTGTTGTGAACATCTGTGCAGAATGCTGTACAGACCACCATCATACAGAATTACCCAATCCAAAACAAAAAAATCAACAATGGTCCCTGGTGCTCAGGTCCTTTGCAAAACAATAGGATCATCACACCAGTCAGTGCTCGGGCACTGCAAAACAATTAAAGTGTGAAATCACAGCCCATACCAGGCTGCAATGTGTTTTTAGTTATGAACTCACCGAGATGACTCTGTAGCCCCAGCCTGTCAGAGCCAATAGCTGCTGGAAGAACACCTCTGCTGTCCCACTGACAGGAGGAAGGAAGATAATGGGACACCTGATGCTCTTTGGACCTGCATCATACAGCGACCACACCTTACTGTCATCATCATCAACAATAATCTAGAGGAGATAGAAAAGTACACAATGAGTTAGAGCACCTATGGCAACTTTTTGAAAATGTGCAAATTTCAAACCAAGCGTGATGCATCTTCTTACAGAATGAATAATCCATGGTCATGGCATCCTGAATTAAATCATACAACAAGTATTCATCTCTACAAGAAGGGTGGTGAAAAGGGCATATATGAGAAGATTAAAAAGAAAATAATATTAATTTAAAGGTACAGTGTGTAGAATTTTGTGATATCTAGTGTTGAAGTTTCATGTTGCAGCTGAATACCCCTCACCTCACCCTCTCCTTCCAAACATATAAAAGAACCTTTGGAAGCCTTCGATTGTCATAAAAACTCCAAAGGTGATTAGTTTGTCCAATCTAGACTAATGTAAAAAACATGGCAGCCTCTGTAGAGAGGACCGCCTCGATGTAAATATAAAGTATTTAAATATAAAGAGCCTTTTCTGGGGTAAAGAAAACTATAATTCATATAATGTAGATGAAACGAACTAGTGAAAACATCATGAGGATTATTCTACATTAAATTTCTGGTTCCTTTTCACCTTAGTGAATCATATCAGAATTTAAAATTTGGTCAGTGCAAATAAACAACCTCAACAATGAAATGTTGTGCTGATTGTACGTTTTCCTTCCACAGTATGCCTGTGGCCATATTGCCAAGAAACAGAGTAGTCCATGATCAGCTCCTTTGTTTTGCTGACGTTGAGATGGAGGTTGTGGTCCTGGCATCAAGATGTCAGGGCTCAGACCTCCTCTCTGTAGGCCGTCTCGTCGCTGTCGGTGATCAGGCCGATGACGGTGGTGTTGTCAGCAAATTTGATGATGGTGTTGGAGCTGTGTGTGGCCACGCAGTCGTGCGTGAACAGGGAGTAGAGTAGAGGACTGAGCACGCAACCATGGGGGGCTCCAGTGTTGAGAGTCCGGCTGGAGGATGTGATGTTCCCCATCCGCACTGCCTGGCGTCTGCCCATCAGGAAGTTCAGGATCCAGTCACAGAGCGCGCTGTTGAGCCCGAGGTCCCTGAGCTTGATGACGAGCTTGGAGGGCACAATAGTGTTGAATGCTGAACTGTAGTCAATGAACAGCATCCTCACATACGTGTTCCTCTGGTCCAGGTGGGAGTGGGCATTGTGGAGGGTGAGGGTGATGGCGTCGGCTGTGGACCTGTTCTCCMTGTAAGCAAACTGCAGGGGGTCCAGTGAGTTGGGGAGGGAGGAGGTGATGAACTGTTTGACTAACCGCTCAAAGCACTTCATGATGATGGGGGTGAGTGCAACCGGCGGTAGTCGTTGAGGCAGATGGTTTTTGTCTTTTTAGGGACCGGAATGATGGTGGACTCTTTGAAACAAGTGGGGACTATAGACTGGAGCAGTGACTTATTAAAGATGTCTGTGAACACCTCTGCCAGCTGAACTACACACACCTTGAGAGCACGGCCAGGGATGCCGTCAGGCCCAGGAGCCCTATGTGGGTTGATCTTTTTTAGGGATCTGCACACATCTGCACTGGTTAAAACCAGGGGGCAGGGGCAGGGATCCTGAGCCTTCTGTACCTCCACAGCCGGGGTTCTCTCAAAGCGTGCAGGCAGAAAGTGATGGTTGAATTCTACACAGCCATCATTGAGTCCATCCTCACCTCATCAATCACCGTCTGGTTCGCTGCCTCCACTGCCAAGGACAAGGGCAGACTKCAGCGGATCATAAGGTCAGCTGAGAAGGTCATCGGCTGTGACCTGCCTGCCCTCCTGGACCTGTTCCACTCCAGGACCAGTAGGAGAGYAGGCAAGATCATTGCTGATCCTTCACATCCCGGTCACCACCTGTTCCAGAGACTTCCCTCCRGAAAAAGGTTYCGGGCCATCAGGACTAAAACCTCTCGCCATCTGAACAGTTTTTTCCCCGTGGCAGTGGGGCTCACAAACAAGCCCCCTGCTTCACACTGACTCTGCACCGCACTGACTCTACCCCACCACACCCCACCCCCTGCACATAATTTATANCAATCTCTGCACCTTCGCACAGCACGTGCCCATAACCCTGTTACTCTGTTACTGTATATATGTATATACTTTATTTTATTTTATTCTATTTTTATTTTATTCAATTTCTTATATATTGTTGTTTCTTATATTGTTGTTTTATGTACATAAGTAGTGCACCAATGACACCAAGGCAATTTCCTGTATGTGCAAACATACCTGGCAAATAAAAGAATTCTGATTCTGATTCTGATTCTGAAACGTGTTCAGTTCATCTGGGAGAGATGCACACACTCCATCGGCACCACTTGTTGTTCTTTTATAGTCTGTTATAGTTTTTATTCCAGACCACATGTTTCTAGCGTTGGATCCCTTGTATTCAGACTCCACTTCGTTCTTATTGTCTTTTAGCACTGCTAATAGCTCTCCGGAGCGCATACCTGGAGTTCCTGTATTCATCCAAATCACCAGCGCTGTGCGCGACGGCCCGGGGCTTTGAGTTTGGCTCGGACCTCGCGATTTATCCAGGGCTTCTGATTTCGGAATGTTAGTACAGTAATCCATGGCACGACGTCATCGATGCATTTGCTGATGTAGCAAATGACCGCGTCTGTGTGTGTGTTTATGTCCTCCTCCTCAAACACACACCACTCCGTGTTGCTGAAGCAGTGTTGGAGAGCAGAGTCTGACTGCTCGGTCCAGCGCTGGACTGTCCGTGTCACAGGTCGGTCTCTTTTCAGTCTCTGCCGGTAAACGGGAAGCAGGAGAAGAGATATGTGGTCCGACTTGCCGAAGGGGGGACGGGGGAGGGCTTTGTATCCATTGCAGAAAGGAGAGTAAACATGGTCCAGTGTATTTCCGACGCGCGTGGGGCAGCTGACGTGCTGATAGTATTTTGGCAGGACTTTCTTCATGTCTGCGCTGTTAAAATCCCCGGCCACAATAAATGCAGCCTCCAGCCTTGAAGTCTCTGTCCTGTCGATAACTCCGTACAGCTCCTCCAGCGCTGTGTTGTTGTCAGCGTGCGGCGGCACATACACTGCTGTTAGAACTACAGATGTAAACTCCCTCGGCAGGTAAAAAGGCCGCCATCTGATCATGATGTGCTCTAAGCTGGGAGAACAGTCCAAAGAAATTATCTCCACATCTGAGCACCAGTTGTTTTTAATCATAAAGCAGACACCCCCTCCCTTACTCTTCCCTGAGTTTATTGTCCGATCCTGGCGATGAATGGAGAATCCACGCGGGACAATGGCGGCGTCCTGGGTCAAGCCAAGTCTCCGTGAAAACCATAACGTTACAGTTCTTAATGTCCCGTTGAAATGCCATCCTGCTTCGGATTTCATCCAGCTTATTATCCAGGGATTGGACATTTGCCAGAAGTAAGCTCGGTAGAGGAGGCCGGTTTTCGCGTTTCCTCAGCCTGACTAGGGCCCCGGCCTGGGATCCTCGCCGTCTTTGTGTCCTGCGCCCCGCGCCAACAGGTAACCACGGATACTCGCCATTGTTGTTGTTTGCTGGTCGCAGTGGTTTTTTGCTGTTTGCCAGCGACCTGATGAGTAAAAGTTGTTCTCGATCATATTGAATGATAGGGCTCGCTTGGGCGGTTTGCATGCTGCAAAAAAAGTTAAAAATAGACTGAAAAAGTACAACATAACGACACTAGAAATGAGGAGTTGGTGAGGAGCTCGAGACACGGCAGCCATCCTCGGCGCCATCTCCCAGACCACAACTTTAACTTATTATCTAGGTCAGCAGGGCTTCATTTGTTTGGCCAAATATAATGACATGCAGAACGTGAATGCATGGAACACCATTTATCATAGTTTTTGCCATCTTTTGTGATAGGGATATCGCGCATGTTGATATCTCAATGGGGTAGATTTTCGATTCATTGTGTAGCCATACTATACATTGTCCAATCTGAGTCTAGACATGTTTGATGACCTGGTGTGACAACATTTAAATGCCAAAATTCAACATTACCATAGCACCACCTACTAGCAACAGGATGCACACCTTAACAGGATGTTACATTTAACTCCCTTATGCACTGTGCAAACGCATAACAAAAAACGAAGACTTGTCAATTAAACTCCAGGAACTACACCTCAGCACACCCAACGAACACAGACTGTGAGGGCCTGACCATCAATGCCCGCAGCTTTTATCATTATTATTAAATGAATTGGTATTCCTATCATTAATAACATCATTACATCTATAAATATCACTCTTCCCATTTTCATTATAACAACCAGTCTGACATAGCTTGAATAGGACAACTACTCCTGGTCTCCTTGATGCATCAAGTCTACATCGCACTCTTCTGCGTAAGACATCAGCTGCTGCCTGAGTTCTCCTTTCACCAGCTTCCAGGACACTTCAAACACAATTATGATTCAGCCTTCAACAATTTGAATGCACAATGATGCATCTCGATGCATTTCAATGTATCACATTGACAATTATCTATATTACTGTCTAAGACAGTGGTCAGTGCTCTCCAAACTGATTTGATATTCATTCAGTTTAACCTTGTGTGCTGCACCTTAGGCTTAAAAGGACAAACTCTGATTATAACCTTTACTGTATCAAGGTGGCCCCGCTTGGACTTCTCTTGGTAGCACGACTACACTAAGGTGTGGTGCTCAACAGGTGACTCTGCTGTTTTCTAATCACTCACAACCATTCTAAGGTAAAGAAATAAACAATTCATACAATTTATATGAAACACACAGGCGAAAACATTACTAGGATTATTTTATATTCATTTTGTGCCAATAGATTCCTTTCACCTAAAAATTACACACTAAACCTTTTAATATTGTGTGCTCACATGCATCACGATCGTTAGAAATTATAAATCATAAAATACTTACTCTCCTCAAGGGCACTGTGCTTCTGAACCAGTTGTAGTCAGGAGACACTTTAATCTCCTCCATCTGATGTCAAAAGCAGAGAAAGGACAGACATATTCATAGACAGTCAGAGAGAGACAGGCACAAAAACACATAATCAACATAATCACAGACATAGACAGACATTCAAAAACAGATAGTTGGAGAAAAACGGAAAAAGGAAAAAAACTAACAGAGGACAAAGGCAAACTGTCAGAGACAGACAGACAGAAAAACAGTCACACACATACAGTCAGAGACAGAGATAAACAGAATGAGATGGAAAGGCAATGACAAACAAAAATCAGAAGTCAGTCACAAACACTCAGACAGTAGAGACCACAGAGACTGACACAGACACGGAGAAAAATAGTCAGCACATACAGAAAGAGACAGAGACAATTAAATGGGTACAGTCAATCATAGATATACAGAGACAAACAGAAAGCCAGTCAAAGACAATATGGGAGAGAAACACATTTATAGACACAATCAGAGACTTTCAGAGACAATTCCATGTCAAATAATCACACTTTTGGGCTGCAACGTCATAGAGCTTAGTGGAATTTAGCATGCTGATTTGGTCATAAAAGTCATGTAACAGATGTAACAGATGTTTTTTTTTTAATCATAATTAAGAGATATATGGGCTAACCTTTTGCGGGCACTCTGGACTTTCTCTGTCCTTGATACAGCGATATTCATCTGAACTGTCTT